CCTGGCTCTAACTGAAACCAAGTTCTAAGGCCCTGTTTTCAACACAAGGCCTCAACCCTGGGACTTCTGAATCGACAATAAACAGAGTGCCTGTGAGCACGTGGAAGAAGAGATTGGATTTATACACCGCCCTTCACTACCCGAAGGAGTCTCAGAGTGGCTCACAATCTCCTTTCCCTTCCCCGCCTCACAACAGACACCCTGTGAGGTAGGTGGGGCTGAGAGAGCTCTCTTGAGGACTGCCCTTGAGAGAACAGCTCTGACAGAACTTGTGACTGACCCAAGGTCCCACCAGCAGCTGCATCCGCAGCAGTGGGGAATCAAACCCGGTTCTCCCAGATTAGAGTCCACGCTCCTAACTACTAAACGGGCTCTCTCCTGACCAATACACCAAATTGGAGATGAGATGAACCACACTAAGCCCACACACCGGTGGGTCAGAGGAAGGGGATTTTCAGAAGAGAAAATTTCCAATTCAAGGACTGTAATTTCTGAGCCTTTTAAAAATCACATTGTGGGTACGATGAGAAGGAGGAGCCAGCAGGGAAAGGGGAAGACGCCCAACCATGTTAGCAAGACCTCAGTTGCCTTTTTCTTTCTGATTGGGTCAGTGATATATAAATACACATTGACGGGGTCCAAACTGGCAGAGACTGACCAAGAGAGAGACCTGGGAGTCATAGTAGATAACTCAATGAAAATGTCGAGACAGTGTGCGACTGCAATAAAAAAGGCCAACACTACGCTGGGGATTATTAGTAAGGGAATTGAAAACAAATCAGCCAGTATCATAATGCCCCTGTATAAATCGATGGTGCGACCTCATTTGGAGTACAGTTCTGGTCACCACACCTCAAAAAGGGTATTATAGTATTGGGAAAAGTGCAGAAAAGGGCAACTGGAATGATAAAAGGGTTGGGACACTTTCCCTATGAGGAAAGGTTAAGGCACTTAGGGCTCTTTAGCTTGGAGAAACGACAGCTGAGGGGTGACATGATCGAGGTTTATAAGATTACAAGAGGGGGACCCGCGATACTCGCGGGGAGGGGGCCAGTT